TAGTAATAAGTAAAAAAGCTCTATGTTCGGCCAGGCCGAACTTTGAATACCCTAAACCATTTGGAATGAATTTGTCAATTTTCAAAAAATAAATAAATAACTAATAATAAAAATAAATAACATCCGTTAAAAATTCTGTTAAAATCTTAAAAAATGTAGCCGTTATATTAGGTTCGATATGACGACGTGGACCTGCATAGGCAACTTTTGTCATAAGCCATTACAATATTCAAATGCGAAACTTAAAAAAAATAATAATAATAAAAATCGGTGAATCGTGTAGCTAAAATCATCAAAGTACCGAATATAGGGAGGTACCGTTATATTGGGGCTATTCGAAGACGTGAACATGCACGGACAATTTTCTGTCATAGCCTGTAGTATCCATTACGAACTTAAAATACAAATTTTAAATAATTCCGGTGATTAATGTCACTAAAATCATCAAAATACCGAAAATACGGAGGTAGCATTATATGGGGGCTATACCAAAACGTAAACCTACATTTTCAATAGAAAATGTCGTGCAGACATACTATACATTTGAGTAAAATTGTATCAACCCACTTCATCTCGTTCGGAAGCTAGGATGATTTCCACAGACGGACGGACATTGTTAAATCGACATAGAATTGTATGCTGATCAAGAATATATATTCTTTATGGGATCTAAAATGTATATTTCGAGGTGTTACTAACGGAATTTGGGCCAATTAAAGTTTTTCCCTTTGACTAAAGTTTAGAAAATATTATTTTTTATACCCCACGCTCTTTAATATACCAATATTAAAAAAAAAAAACCTCTTAGTTAAGCTTGAGTTATTTTTTACTTTATTGTGTGAACTCGCATTGGCCATCACCTTATTTGTCTAACATCGCAAATACATTTTTGTTGTCAAGGACATTTGGTGCCTTATCTGAGACTCGTGTCGCACAAGTGCCATCATTTAAGCTGATACTAAGCATGAAATAGAAACAGTCTTTATTGCGTTTCAACTCCACACAAAAAATATGTCACTGGAAGATTTAAAGATTGGAAGAAAAAACCGAAAAATTTTAAAGGGATCGTAGCAACTATTCAGCAAATTTTAGTCGTAAAATGACTAATTTTGACAAATTTTAGTGTCAATGTAGTACTTGAAATGAAGATATGCAAAATTGTCCTACAAAGCACCATTTTAATAGGATTAGGTCAAAGAAAATTTTGAAAATTTTATTATATTTTTATACCCTCAGAGTCAGGGTCACAATTATTAATATGTACATGAAGCTCATAAAACACGAAATTAACATCCGTTTCCATTCCAATTTGGCACACCTTAACATTTCCATCAACACAAGATCTTTTATAAAGATGGTAGAGATCGGATCATTCCTTTTGGTAGCTTTCCAGAAGGGAAAACATTTCGAATAACCAAAATTGGTCAACATTGCCCAACTGCTTCGGAACCTCCCCCATAAAGAGTCTACAGTTTGAATAATCATACCCAAGACTGGTCGTATACATCTGTCTGCAAAACCGACTGATATTATTTTACTTGTTTTAGTACACATTTCCAAGACCATATCTTTATGACAAACCTACTACCAATAAAAACCCATTCAAAATTTCAAAACTCCAGTTCCTACTAAACCAAACTGTTTCAACTTTAGTACCATTTAGTACAATTTGCACATGTTGTACACATTTCTTTAACCACCATTTATTTATTTTCAACCTTATTTTGCAACCTTGAATCAAACACCAATATTTTTTAGCTCTATTCTTTCACATAATACCAAATAGTACCATTTTGCCGTAACCTTAAATTTCGAATTTCCAAAAGACTACCTCGTGTAAAATATCAAGATTCTATCTTCAGCCGTTTCGTCTGGGCGTTAATCAGTCAGTCGAAATAATGGTTTTAGACCGTAGGTTTCTACGGACCAAATCCGTTTTAGGATATTTGGAGGCGATCTGGAACCGTCCGTCAGTCTGTCATTCTAGCTGGTGCGCACGATAACTCTCGAAGGAGTATCCGGTTTCGTGGTACAACGTAATATTAATGTCAAACTTAGATCCAGTTCGGATGTAGGCAATATCGGTCCACTCCTTTCCACTTCGGTCGACTTCTTTTAGTCTTAAAAAATAAAACACTCATGAAATGCGAAATAGGAATCGGATTATTTCTAAATTTCACACAACCCAAATTTCCTTTCAACACAAGATCTGTTGTGAAGATGATGGAGTTCGTCCCACAAAGGGTCACAATTTTCAATACTTATGTCTCTCATAACTTGCGAATCAAGTCAGTGATTCTTTGTATTTCTAAATATTTATCTTAAACATTAAACTGATGTGAAATTTATTTAAGATTTTTTTTAAAAAAGGAGTAAGTTCTGTCGTGCCGAAAATTGAGTGGCCTCTACCATTTGGAAGGAATTTGCTAATTTTCAAAAAAAAGTTGGTGAAAAATAATGCTAAAATCCTAAAAATATCGAATATATAATGTTCCGTTATATTGGGCCCATGGACCTGTGTATGCAAATTTTGTGCTAGGCTATTAGGATCTTCAAATATGAAAATTGAAACCATTCCGAATGAATAATGTCTCTAAAACCATCCAAAATAACGTTATGTGGGGGATGACTTGGAACTGCGTATGCAATTTTCTGTTTTAGATAGTCGTGACCGTTAGGAACTTTAGATACGAAACTTGAAACAAATCCGCTGAATAATGTAGCTAAAGTCATTAAATAAAGAAAGGTACAGTTATATTGGGTACTATATCAAAACTTAGACCTATATTGACAGGTCATTACAAGGATGTTTCTAACATAATGGGAACACATGCTACCAATTTAAAACAAATTCGGATTAACTAAGAAACCTTAAAAATGTCGGTACAGTTATATGGGACTATACCAGAAGGTGGGCCTATAATTCAATACCAAAAGTCATGCAGACCTTACTTTATTTCGCTCGGAATCTAGAGTGATTTGTGGGGTCTAAAATGTATATACCCTCCACCATTCTATAGAGGATATATTAGCTTTGTCATTCCGTTTGTAATTCCTCGAAATACTCATGTAATATATATGTAAGACGATCTTTCGATTTCTTTCTGTCAGTTGTAATTACTTTATCTTTCGAACGAACTGGAATAGAAGGCAAAAGTTGCACATACGTGTAGGACAAGTTCGTAAATGCGCCATGTCGGTCCACGTTTTCGTATAGCCCCCATATAATGGTACCTCCCCATATTGGTTATTTTGATGATTTTAGCGACATTATTCACAGGATTTTTTTTTTTTCAAATTTCGCATTTGAAGATCTTAATGGGTACAACAGTTAAAGATGGGAAGTGATCTAGGACGTATGACTTTGATGGTCGTGGTTGATCATATCATGTATACGTCCACTTGCACGCCTCTTAATGTTAATTCGTCAACCTTCACTTCAAACGAGAATCGGATATTTATTAAGAATATATTTCGTACATAAAATGTAATTGAGAAAAGGATTTTCAAAGACCAGCAGAGCTATAACTGTAATTTTTTTAGAAATATTTTTTCAAAGACCAGCAGACCTTTAACCTTGAATGTTTATACAACTATTCTTTCAAAGGACAACAAAGCTACAACCGTGAATTTAATATCCATTTGCAAAATTTGGATTTCTATAAATGTGTGTTTCAAAGAACAACAAGGCTATAATTCTTATTCTTTGGCAAATCTCTTTTCAGAGATAATTTTTTTCGAGGACTTACAGAGCTTCGCCGTTTTTATACCATACCACCATAGTATGGAGGGTATATCAAGTTTGTTATTCCGTTTGTAACTCCTCGAAATATACATTTTAGACCCCATAAAGTATATATATTCCTGATCGGCATAAAATTCTATGTCGATTTAGCGATGTCCGTCCGTCTGTGGAAATCACTCTAGCTTCCGAAAGAAATTAAGTAGGTTGATAAAATTTTACTCAAATGTATATTATAACTGCAGGACTTTTGAAGGACTTTGGTATTAAAAATGGGGCATGTAGTTAAACGTCTTCGTATAGCCCCCATATAACGGTACCTTTCCATTTTGGAAATGTTTTAAATTTGGTATTTGAAGATCGAAATGGATGCTAAAGTCTATGACAGGAGATTGTCTGTGCAGGTCCACGTCTTCGTATAGCCTCCATATAAAGGTATTACGGTATTTTTGGAAAATGTTGAACATTTTCAGTTTCCTTCCAAATGGTGAAGGGTATTAAAAGTATATTGATATAGATAGGCTAAGAATGAACTACTGTCGAAAAAGTCCAACGGGTATCATTATACATTTTATTTGAAAATCAAATTTGAATTCATGGTCCAATCATTATTTGAATTCTGGAAATTGGCACCATTGAAAGTGGTAAGCATCCTCAGTACAATAAATAACCGATTATCCGATTTGTATTTAAAAAATATAAAATATATAAAGTCCAAGTAAAATTAAATTTTTAAATATTTTTTTTATTTAAACTTTATAACTGTATTCGGTTTTGTTAACAGAATTTATACGTTAACATTGAAATATGTATAGCTACAATTCTAATTACATATGGCTTATAATTTAATTTCAAATATATACAAATATATTTTTATTTTTTTTCTATGTTTATTTTTAATATTCAATACATACATTAATGTTAATGCACAAAATTCCATACTTTTTTTTTCTTAAATATATCTTAGAATATATTAAAAATTTTATGATAATTTTCAGATTTATTTTTTTATTATTTATTAATACATAAAAAATAATTTCTAATGACTAGATTCGTATATAATTCATTAATATGCATTATGTGTTTGAGATCAGTTTTTTTTGTCTTTTGATTTTATTTCTTTGAAAATGAAAATGTTCAGAAAAGTTATGACAAAAAATCTAAATAATTTTTTTATTAATTATTTTTAGAAATTTATTTTTTTCGGTTTAAATTCGATATGTTGTTTTTATATTTAATATTAATTCTATTTAATTTTCGTATATTTCCTTTGGCATATGTATGGTTGACGCAGATTACAAAATGAGAGACTATACAATTTTTAGAGTTTCAGGGATTTTATTAGAATTGTTTTTTTGTTATAAATTTTCTAATTAATTTTTTTTTAATTTTTAAAAATTAAGATATGGAATTCATTCAGTTTCTGTTCACAACAAGGTTTTATCGTTTTCTTTCTCCTCCAATTTACACTATATTCAGCTCATTTTCTGTTGCATTTTTGATTTCATTCTCCATGATGTCCTCACCCAAACTCAAACCCAAAGCCTGGCCAATGGCTTTGCGCAGTTGCTAGTAAGGTCGCCAAACATCGGAAGCCTTTGGTGTACGGCAGCGTATGGGACCATATGAACTACTCGCCGAGCGTGAGGTATTGCTAACATCATCCAAATCTATGGTCTCCACGGGAGAAGGCGATCTCTGGCTGGATGTAACCGGGGGAGGTGTGCTATTGCTCACAAGTTTAGTCTGGTCGGGCACTTCGGAGCCACTATGTGAGACCAGGGTAACACAGCGTTTTATTAAATTAACACCATGGGCAGTTTCGCTATTTCCAGGCAAGTTAGATATTGGTGTCGCCGATGTTGTTGCCGCTGCTGCTGCGGATGCTTCTACGCCACCATTTAGAATTGACTGAGCGGGGGCATTATTTCGAAACCATGGGAATTCATTATAATTTCCATAGAGTTGAGTATACAACCACTGACTCGGCTGGGGTAGCAGAGGATTTTGCAAAAACAACTGGGCCGCCAATGCTGGATTGAAGGCATGCGGAGGAGTGAAATTCGAGGCGAATCCCGAAAACAATTCTGTTTTTCTTAAGGCTGGATTACGTTGTATCAAAGAGGTGAAAGCCCCACCATTACCGCTACCTTGAGTCATGGGTGGTGAGGTGCTACGCTGCTCATCATCCTCATGAATGGATGATGATTTCCGTGGCGATCCTGTCACCGATATGCTATCACTTTCAAAACCGGCATCAATGTTGTTATCGTTGTCACTCGTCGTGGTCGTCAAAGGCGGGGAGGTGGTAAGCGAATGATGTGCCAGCCCAGCTGAGGTTGTGGTCGGAGAACCTTCAGGACTGGTTGTACTGTGGGCCGCACCAATTGCTGAGAGCTGGGAGAGCTGGGATAGATGGTGGGGATCTGAAAATTTAAAGAAAAAATATAATTTGTCTGTATTTTTTTTTTTTTTTTTTTTTTTTTTTGAGACGACTTAGTCTTCTAAAAGCGTTTTTTGTGGGATAATAGAATTTTTTTTGGGGGCCTATTGGGGCCGTTTGTGAATGGAACAAGTGTTTAAGGTCCTATATCGAAGACAATGATGAGACCTTCTCAGAGACCAATGAAAGCTCTGACCAAAAGCGCTTTTAAAAGAGGGTGAGAAGTACTTTTTGAAAAAGAGACCAAAAGGTCACCTCTTAAAAGACTGGAAGTTCTTCTCATAAAAAACGAGAATGTATTCTCATAGAAGGTAAAATGACTTCTCATAGAAAGATGAAAGAAATTCTCCAAGAGTCATCTCAAAGAATACAAAAGGGTCTTTTTGTAGGATACCTAGAATATTTGTAGGTCTTTTCATAGAGGTGCGGTCTTAGACGACCGAAATGTCTGTTCTAAGAAGACCAGAAGATTTGGCCTTATAAAGTAAAAAGATCCTATCTTAAAAGACGGGAAAGTCTGGTCGAAGATGACCAGAAAGTCTTGTCTAAGAAAACAATAGGGCAGGCTTTCAGACGACTAGCAGCTCTGGCCTTTGACGACCCGAAGGTCTTAACTCTGAAGACCATATTATCTGGGCTAAAAATATCTGGGCTTCGAAGACCAGACGGTCTGGAAATCTGAATTTAGAAGAGAGCTGAGAGAGAAGAGCTGAAAGTTGGATTAGAACACCGAAAGATCTTGTCTTAGAAGACCAGAAGATCTGCTCTTAGAAGTTCAATAGATCTGGCCTTAGATGACGAGAAAATCTGGTCTTAAAAGACCAGAAAATCCGGTCTTAGAAGACAAGAAGGTCTTAAAAGACGGGAAAGTCTGGTCGAAGATGACCAGAAAGTCTTGTCTAAGAAAACAATAGGGCAGGCTTTCAGACGACTAGCAGCTCTGGCCTTTGACGACCCGAAGGTCTTAACTCTGAAGACCATATTATCTGGGCTAAAAATATCTGGGCTTCGAAGACCAGACGGTCTGGAAATCTGAATTTAGAAGAGAGCTGAGAGAGAAGAGCTGAAAGTTGGATTAGAACACCGAAAGATCTTGTCTTAGAAGACCAGAAGATCTGCTCTTAGAAGTTCAATAGATCTGGCCTTAGATGACGAGAAAATCTGGTCTTAAAAGACCAGAAAATCCGGTCTTAGAAGACAAGAAGGTCTGGGCTTCGAAGATCAGACGGTCTGAAAATCCTGATTTAGAATACCAGAAAATCTAGCCTGGAAGTGCAAAAGATTTGGTATTAAAAGGCCAAGGCCTGTTCTCAGAAGACCAGAAGGTCTGTTCTTAGTACACCAGAAGATCTAATCTTAGAAGGCCAGGTTTTAGAAGACCAGAAGATCTGGTCTCAGAAGGCAAGAAGATCTAATCTTAGAAGACCAGAAAATCTGGTCTAAATATCAGAAGACCAAATTTCAGAAGACCGAAAGATCTTGTCTTAGACCAGAAGATTTGGTTTTAGAAGACCAGAAAATCTGGTCTTAGAAAACAAGGAAATATGGTCTTAGAAGACGAGAATATCTGATTTTAGAAGACCTGAAGATCTTGTCTTAGAAGACCGAAGATGTGGTCTTAGAAGCCCAGATGATCTGGTCTCGGAAGACCAGTAGACCTGGTCTTAGTAGACAAAAAAGTCTGGTCTTAGATGAACAGATGGCCTGGTTTTAGATGACCAAAAGGTCTGGTCTTAGAAGACCTGAAGATCTTGTCTTAGAAGACCTGAAGATCATGTCGTAGAAGACCAGAGGGTGTGATCTTAGGAGACCTGAAGCTCTGGTATTAGAAGACCGGAAGATCTCGTCTTAGAAACCCAAAATATGCGGTCTTAGATCTGTTCTGAGATGACCTGAAAGTCCGGTTTTAGAAAACCAGAAGGCCTGGACTCAAAGGACCAAAAGGTCTGGTCTTTGATGACTGGAAAATATGGTCTTAGAAGACGAAAAACAAAGAACGTCTGGCCTGAGAATACCAAAAGGTATGGTCTGAGAAGACCAGAAAATCTGGTTGAGAAGACCAGAAGAACTGCTCTTAGAAGACCAGAACTTCTAGTCTTAAAATCAAAAGTTCTGTTCTTAAAAGACCAGAAGAAATGGTCTTAGAAACCTAGAAGATCTGGTATTAAAATATCAAAGGATCTGGTATTGAAGACCGGAAGTTCTGATCTTAGAAGTCCAGAAGATCTAAATCTGGTCTTAGAAGACCAGAAGCTCTGGCCAAAGAAGACAAGAACATCTGGTCTTAGAATGCCAGAAGCTCTGGTCTAAGATCTGAGTCTGAGTATGTTTAGCATGGACTAGATATACATTTTTGAGGCCCTTAACTAAATACAAATCGTTTCGTGCTCTTCTGTAAAATTCGATTATTCTGTAAAATTCGATTATATATTAAAGACCCCTAACATCAGGATATACCTTCCTATTACAGTAACATTTTCCTGAGATCTTTTCTAAATTCAAAATTTTAGTTTTTTATTTCCGAATTTTGTCAGAAAAATTCTTCTTACCTCCAACTCTGTTTAAGGCCTGACGATCCAAGGCACCAACATGTCCGGGAAACGCTGCCGGCTGATGATGAAAGAATGGACTGCCATGAGGGAATGGTGGTCTGCCCAATGCCGCTGCATGGCCACCACCCAATGTTCGCCAATCGGGTGCATGTAGATGTGAATGCATTCCCACCAAATGATGAGCAAAACCTTAAAAGACAAAGAAGACGAAATAAATACAAACTTCTAAAAAAATCAATATTTCAAATCATAACATGAAAACACAACCCAACCCGGCTATCCCACAAATTCCACAAAAAACTGGGAGTCTAACATCACAAAACCTTGCCACAGTGAGGCCAAATATTGGCCGCTCATTTCGGGTTAGTTTCTTACCGCCGGCAAATAACCGCATATGAGCAACAAACTATTCAACAGCAACAATTTAAAACCAAGCCACATAGGCTGGTATATAAGAAACTAAATATATATTTATATACAACTTCCAGACAGGGGTGTAGCCCCTAGACAAAAGCAAAAAAGGCTGTCTTTGTCTTGGATTGCCAAAATCATTAGAGGTTTTGCTTTTCCCCCAAAAAAAGGCCAAAAAAAATGATATAGAACACACCCTAGTTTGAAAAGGAAAAAGGAATAAACACACTAGAACATTAACCCTCCTTGGTTTAGTAGGCTCTTCACTTTGGCCGGTGAACCTACCGAGTTCTAACCCAAATGCAACCGTCTCAAAAAAAAAATTCAGCCGAAAAAATGGTTTAAAAAATATGTGCAGAGGCAACACCCGCATACAAAGGCACTCTCACTCATTCATGTATTTTTTCAGTCGCAACTATCAAACTCACAGTGAGACACCTACACATGTGTAGGTTTTTATATACATACACATACATATATGTATGGTCTCAGGCTCACTCACACTTCTGCAGGCGCAAAGAAAAGACACCTCCGTTCAGACTCTGTGCAAATCAGCCTTTTTTTAAATGTATTAGTTTAGTTTTTGTGTAACTAGCAATGTATTTGTAAATAGTTTTACATGTATGCAAGTCCCAGTTTTTAATATATTGAAGTCAGCCAGCCATCCGACCAAACGAGCAACCGCCCGACCAACCAACCAACCATTTTCGGTTTACACCAAAAGACGCCATTATTTGGTTGCATGCGACCGCCACACTCAGCCAGGCAATCACTAGTTTTTGGTTTAACCAACATTTTGTTGTTATTATTGTCCAATTTTCTTTACTCTCTTCCTTTTCTACTCTCACGTCGTCTTATGATGTGTGTGTGAAGAACTTTAGTTTTCTAGAGACTCTTGGAGTTATGTATGGCCAACGACGAAATGTGCAATTTTGATTGGAGGGAAAGGAAAGAAGCTGAACTACAGTTTTGGAAGGCTCGTAAAAATATTTAAAGTGAATGTCATTAGGCCCTATTTTTTCATAGGGAAAATCAAGGCAAAATCCCTTACTTTCAAACAACATGAATATTGAAATTCCCAAATTGTATCCCAAAAATGGTTCTCTAAAATAAAAATATCCCTATTCCAATTTTCAAAAAAAAAAATTGTTCCTAAATTTGATGCATTTGGCGATATAAATAAGGATTTTAAGAATATCGAAATATTTTCCAAAAAAATATTTTTATTCAAGAAAGTTGAGTCTTATACAGGGTGAGATGAAAAAACTGCAACCAATTTCAGACTGCTGTCATTTCTAAGCCACTCGTCCGACACCTCTTAAAATTATTCCAGTGACAGCTCATTATATTTTTTACAAGCGTACAAAAGCATTTTGGTGAGAATTTTCCAGAAAACAAGTTATTCGTCATGAAATTCAAGCGTGATGGTGTGATTTCTTTATATTTGACTGGAAAAACACAAGTGCCTATCGTTGGAGCACTCCAGCATTTAAATGTGAATAAATCTTTTATGTCTCGTACCATCGCTCGTTATCGTGATACTGGTAGCGTAGCCCGAAGTCAAGGAAAGTGGACGGAAGAAAATAGCAACATCAGCAGAAATGGTTCGAAAAGAAAAGAAGCGACTTGATCGAAACCCGCTTCGCAGTAGCCGAAAAATGGCTTGTGAGCTGAACATATGGCAATATTCCATTCGGCAAATCGGCGGAACTCGGGGTAAAGCCATTGAAATTGCAAAAAGCGCAAGACCTTACACCGCAACAGAAAGAAAAAAGACTCGAAAGAACTAAAGAGTTGCTTCGCTTGGCCAAAAGTGGTGAACTGCCGAATTTGGGTGTCTTCGATGAGAAAACATTTGTTGTCCAGCAGTTTGTAAACTAACAAACTGATTGTGTTTACTTGCCAAAGAGGTCAGCTGAAAATGTACACCTTCGGTTGGCCACCAGAACTCAAGAGCCGGCCATGATGATGGTGTGGGCCGCCATAACTGCCGATGGTTGCTCTCCACTCGTATTAATCGACCGTGGCATCAGAATAAATGCCGAATATTATCGCGAAATATTCTGGAGGGTATATTAAAGCCTTGGGCACGCAAACATTGATTCAGACCTTCAGATATTTTCCCAGAAGATTTGTGGTCTTCTCCTAAAAGATGCGAGGATCTTCTCCTTGAAGGTCTGTGGATCTTCTCATAGAATGACAGTTGATCTTTCCATAGATCTTCTCTTCCATAGAAGACATTTTGTCCGCAAACCTTGAACATTCCAACTGGACTCAGAACCATCGCACTCAGCATGCTCCACTTAAGTACGGTTACAAATTGAGGTTCCTCGCTTCATGTCCAGCGCACAATGGCCACCAAAATCTGCGGATACCAATCCGTTGGACTATTGTGTCTGGAGTATTTTGGAAAGCAAGGTTGGCACCAAAAATTACCAAAGTGTCGATCACCTCAACCAAGCGCTTTGCCGGGAATGGGCCAAAATACCGCAGAGCAACATTCGGGCAGCGTGTGGCGGTTTCATTGGCCGTTTGAAGGCCATAATTTTGAGCAAAAGGTGACCAACTCGAACAAATCTAAATTTATTCTAAAATTTAATGCCAATTCATTTCATTCAATAAAATTTAGAAAAAATGTAAAAATTGTGGCGTTTTACTTTGTTGCAGTCCGAATTTCCTAAAAACACTTCGGTACCTATTTGCCACAATCCACCAGTGATCCATATTCTAAATCAGTACACTTGCAATTCGAATTTCCGCCAATATTGACGGATATGTTAAATTTCATGTTTCCAGCCTTAGCCATTTCGGCTCGGCGTTGATGAATTAGTCAATCACTCATCGCCATGATAATCTGCCATACGAAAAGTCTTTGGTGTTGGTTGACATTTTGACGTTATCCCCTTTTTGGTCCAGGTCACAATGTCCATCCAAGAGCAAAAGAGCTTTAAATTAGCTACCATTAAAAGTTTATCCCAAAAAATGGGTATTTTGAGGAGTCTATCCAATTGTCAATATTGTCAATATTTACTTGGTGGAGGGTATATGAACACTCCGTTTAGTCTACCATGCTCTAAGGCATCATAAGGCATAGGTTCGAAGTTACTAAACCAATCAACCGCCTTTGTACAAAATATTTTGGGGCTTTCGGTAACAATTCTCTAAAAGTAAATTTAAACAAGTACCTGTACACAGGTTGAAATAAAAAAAACTGCAACAAAATCTGACGCCATAATTTTTACATTTTTTTAAATTTTTTTGAATTTAAGCAAAAAATGTCGGAAATAGCATCAAATGTTAGAATAAGGTTATATTTGTTCGAATTGGTCCCCTTTGGCACTAATTATGGCCTTCAAACGGCCAATGAAACCATCACACACTGCCCGAATGTTGCTATGCGGTATTTTGGCCCACTCCCGGCATAGCGCTTGCTTGAGGTGATCGACACTTTGGTATTTTTTAGTGCCAACCTTGCTTTCCAAAATACTCCAGATACAATAGTCCAACGGATTGATATCCGGAGATTTTGGTGGCCATTGTGCGCTGGAAATGAAGCAAGGAACCTCATTTTGTAACCATTCTTGGGTGGCGCGTGATAAGTGCGATGGTGCTGAGTCCTGTTGGAATGTCCAAGGTCTGTGGCCAAAATGTTTGCGTGCCCAAGGCTGTAATACACCCTCCAGAATATTTTAGCGATAATATTCGGCATTTATTCTGATGCCACGTTCGATTAATACAAGCGGAGAGCGATCATCGGCTGTTATGGCGGCCCACACCATCACCATGGCCGGCACTTAAGTTCTGGTGGCCAACCGAAGGTGCACATTTTCAGCTGACCGCTTTGGCAACTAAACACGATCATTTTGTTTGTTCACAAATTGCTGGACAACGAATGTTTTCTCATCGGAGCGGAGAAACCAAATTCGGCAGTTCACCACTTTCGGCCAAGCGAAGCAACTTTTCAGCTTTTTTTAGTCTATTTCCTTTCTGTTGCGGTGTAAGTTCTTGCACTTTTTGGAATTTCAATGGGTTTAACCCGAGCCCGTTTTTTAAATATTTGCCGAATGGAATATTGCGATATGTTCAGCTCACGAGCCATTTTCAGCCACTGCGACGAGGGTTTCGATCAAGACGCTTCTTTACTTTTCGAACCATTTCTGCTGATGACGTCGGGCTACCCTACCAGTATCACTGTATCGACACAAAGACTTATTCACATTTAAATGCTGAAGTGCTGTAACGATAGCCACTAGTGTTTTTCCAGCCAAATATTAAGAATTCACACTATCACTCTTGAATTACATCACGAATAATTTTTTTTCTGGAAAATTCTCACCAAAATGCTTTTGTACGCTTGTAAAAAATATAATGAGCTGTCACTGGAATGGTTTTAACAGCTGTCGGGCGAGCGGCTTAGAAATTACAGCAGTTTGAAGTTGGTTGCAGTTTTTTTCATCTCACCCTGTGTAGCTTGGCATATTTTCACGCCATTTTCTTAAATTTTATCCTTTTTTTGCCAAGAGGCTATTCCAAAATGGGCAGAATGGTCAGAATCATGAGGATCGGGCCATATGTGCGACCTGTAACTACAAGTTAACAAGTTACAAGTTAACATGGACAGATCGACTTAGCTATGCGAGATGGGAAGGTCCATATATTACATCATACGTGCAGAACTAATATTTCGGGCTGTTAGCCCAATCAAACTTATAATACCCCCAACGCATGGTGCTATGGGGTTTAAAAATTCTTTATCATGGATCTTTCGTTAAAAATAT